GCCTACCGGGCGCTGTCGCCCCCCCCCTTCCTGCCTACCGGGCGCTGTCGCCCCCCCTTCCTGCCTACCGGGCGCTGTCACCCCCCTTCCTGCCTACCGGGCGCTTCGCCCCCCTTCCTGCCTACCGGCGCTTCTACCCCCCCTGTCCTACCGGGACTCCGCTTCTACCCCCTTCCTGCCTACCGGGCGCTGTCGCCCCCTTCCTGCCTACCGGGCGCTGTCGCCCCCCTTCCTGCCTACCGGGCGCTGTCGCCCCCCTTCCTGCCTACAGGGCGCTACTACCCCCTTCCTGCCTACAGGGCAATTTCCAGCTTTCAGTGCTGTCGCACTTTGAGTGACAATTGCGCGGTCATGCAACACTGTACCTGTATGAAATTTTTATCATTTTTTTGTGACAGATGGAGCATTATTTTGGTGGTATTTAATCACCTCAGGGTTTTTTATTTTTTCTTAAACAAACCAAAAAAACCACTGAAAAATTTGAAGAAAAAAAGTTTTTTCTTAGTTTTTGTTATAAAATGTTGTAAATAAGTGATTCTTCTCCTTCACTGATGCGCGCTAATGAGGCTGCACTGATGGGTATTGATGAGGAGGCACTGGTAGGTGGCACTGATGGGCATTGACAGGCATCACTGATGGGCACTGATGAGGAGGCACTGGTAGGTGGCACTGATGGGCATTGACAGGCATCACTGATGGGCACTGATGAGGAGGCACTGGTAGGTGGCACTGATGGGCATTGACAGGCATCACTGATGGGCACTAAAAAGCAGCACTGATATATGGCACTGATAGGAGGCACTGTTAGGCGGCACTGACTGGCACTGATAGGTGACACTGAAAGGCAGCTCAGATGGGCACTGATATGTGGCACTGATGGGCATTGGTAGGCACTGATATGTGGCATTGATGTGGCACTGATGGGCACTGATATGTGGCATTGATGTGCACTGGTTGGCACTGATGTGCATTGACACAAGGCACTGATGGACACTGACAGGTGGCACTGCCGGGGCTTACACTGATCATCAGGGCACACTGATCATCAGTGCCCTGATGATCAGTGTAGATGTCCCCTCCACGGAAAGCCAATTACCGGCTCTCCTCTGTCAGCGTGACAGCTCGAGAGGAGAGAAATGCCGATAACCGGCATTTCCCTGTTTACATGCGATCAGCTGTGATTGGACACCGCTGATCACATGACCGAGCCGACATCTTCGGCTCTTTCCGTGATCAGTGATCCGCTGTGTCCGAGGGACACAGCGCACCACCGATCGCCGCGCATGCGCGGTGAGAATGGGTTGAGGACGTCGTATGATGTCCCCCAAGAACGAGAGAACCGCCTTGCGTCTGTCATATTACTATATGGCGGGCGGGAGGTGGTTAAAAAAAAAAAAAAAAAAACTTGACAGTCCCTCTGATTTTATTTCCCCTTTTTGTTTTTGTCCCCAGACAGGACGTATCTTGTATACCTGCTTTCCAGTCGGTCCAAGCACAGAAGAGCACTGAGTGAGTATTTTTGTGTGAACATGAAATTCTCTGCAAAAATAAATGCCATGAAGTGGAAATGCTTTCAGAAAAGTCATGAATGTTTTTTATTGGTGATCAGCCCAGGAAGGTTCCCGTGTGTCCAGGTCACGGTGTAGTTGGTCCCATTTACCTGGACTTGTTTTGTAATGATCAGGACGCTTCCTAGTGTCTCCTTGTTTGCATGTTTCATGAGCATAGAGGAGCCTATTCAAAAAATGCAACACACAAAAAAAAAAGTGCTCATGCTCAGATGCACCACCTTGTGTGAACAAGCCCTCACGCTGTGCCCCAGCCTACAATTCTAAGGGGTGCCTTGACATCAGCCTATCAGGAGGTCTGCAAAGGTGTTGATTCGTTACCACGTCTCCAGAGCCTGTCCCTTCCTCTGGAACGCTCTACTTGAATCTGCCCGGTTGTAGCCTACTCCTGAATCCTGATGTCTAGCTCCCTTCTCTTCTCCCATGCTAGTCTCCTAAACATTTTCAGAGCCTCTCTCATTCTCAGGAGCACAAGACAGAATGGGGTAGAGAGTTCCAGAGGATGAGAGAGGCTCTGGAAAAGTCATGGAGATAAGGGCGCTAGAGATCAGGATTCGAGAGTAGGCCACAGCCGGACAGATACGGGTAGAGAGTTTCAAGACGATGGGAGAGGCTGTGGACAGACTGGGGTAGGGTGTTCAAGAGCATGGGAGGAGAGAAGGGAGCTAGAAATCAGAATGACGCAGGAGCACAAGACAGATTGGGGTAGAGAGTTCCAGAGTCATTCTGATTTCTAGCTCCCTTCTCTCCTCCCATGCTGTTGAACACCCTACCCCAGTCTGTCCACAGCCTCTCCCATCCTCATGAACTCTCTACCCGTATCTGTCCGGCTGTGGCCTACTCCCGAATCCTGATCTCTAGCGCCCTTATCTCTATGACTTTTCCAGAGCCTCTCCCATCCTCTGGAACTCTCTACCCCAATCTGTCTGGCTGTCCTGTGCTCCTGAGTCCTCATGATTTCTAGCTCCCTTCTCCCCTCCTCCCATGCTTTTCTCCATGACTTTTCCAGAGCCTCTCCCATCCTCTGGAACTCTCTACCCCAATCTGTCTGGCTGTCCTGTTCTCCTGAACCCTCCTGATTTCTAGCTCCCTTCTCTCCTCCTCCCATGCTTTTCTCCATGACTTTTCCAGAGCCTCTCCCATCCTCTGGAACTCTCTGCCCCCAATCTGTTTGGCTGTCTTGTGCTGCTGAGTCCTCCTGATTTCTAGCTCCCTTCTCTCCTCCTCCCATGCTTTATCTCCAGGACTTTTCCAGAGCCTCTCCCATCCTTTGGAAAATTCTACCCTAATCTGTCTGGCTGTCTTGTGCTCCTGAGGATGGGAGAGGCTCTGGAAAAGTCCTGGAGAGAAGGGAGCTAAAATCAGGAGGACTCAGGAGCACAAGACAGCCAAACAGATTGGGGCAGAGAGTTCCAGAGTCCTCCTAATTTCTAGCTCCCTTCTCTCCTCCTCCCATGCTCATCTCCAGGACTTTTCCAGAGCCTCTCCCATCCTCTGGAACTTTCTACCTCAATCTGTCTGGCTGTCTTGTGCTCCTGAGTCCTCCTTATTTCTAGCTCCCTTCTCTCCTCCTCCCATGCTCATCTTCAGGACTTTTCCAGAGCCTCTCCCATCCTCTGGAACTTTCTACCCCAATCTGTCTGGCTGTCTTGTGCTCCTGAGTCCTTCTTATTTCTAGCTCCCTTCTCTCCTCCTCCCATATTCATTTCCAGGACTTCTCCTGTGCCTCTGCCATGTTCTGGAACTCCCTACTGCAATTTGTCCGGCTATCTTCTACCCCGTCTGCCTTTAGGAAGCCATCTAAAAACTGAACTTTTTACTTTCTCAATCACCTCATCACTCACAGATAATGGTTTTTTGTATCTCTTGCCCCTCCCCTTTTAGATTGTGAGCTCTCACTAGCAGGGACTCTCCTACCCTCTTGTATTGATAAAGTGTTGCACAGACTGTTGCTGCTATATCAATCCTGTATAATATGAATACTAATAATACACGGCTTAAAGTGGGACTACACGGCTTAAAGTGGGACTACACGGCTTAAAGTGGGACTACACGGCTTAAAGTGGGACTACACGGCTTAAAGTGGGACTACACGGCTTAAAGTGGGACTACACGGCTTAAAGTGGGACTACACGGCTTAAAGTGGGACTACACGGCCTCTGAGCATCACAAACCAACAAATGCTATTAAATTCATTTGTGATATTCAAGGTAAACTTCCCCCATCCATCCATGTCCCCCACGCTTTATTTTGATGAGAAATTATTTCGAAAAACTTCTCCTGGCATTTCTGGCAGTGGCCATCTTGATTAAGGGCAGATGATTCGTGTAGCATTTACTTCCTGGAATCCATCTGCCCATAGCTCAGTCTTTTGGTTGAGCTATGAAGACTCCTGGGATGTATGACATCATTTGCCTAGGCATGGAAACCAGGAAGTAACTGAAGAAATGTAAAAATAAAAATGTAATACCAGTAACTGTGATCTACTTTCCTGTCTATTTACTAATGATGGCAGCATAAGGATTACAAATCATCAATTCTGATTGGGAGAGTGAAGTTTTCCTTTAACCCCTCGCCTACCTGGCACTTCTACCCCCTTCCTGCCTACCGGGCACTTCTACCCCCTTCCTGCCTACCGGGCACTTCTACCCCCTTCCTGCCTACTTGGCACTTCTACCCCCTTCCTGCCTACAGGGCACTTCTACCCCCTTCCTGCCTACTTGGCACTTCTACCCCCTTCCTGCCTACTGGGCACTTCTACCCCCTTCCTGCCTACCGGGCACTTCTACCCCCTTCCTGCCTACCTGGCACTTCTACCCCCTTCCTGCCTACCGGGCACTTCTACCCCCCTTCCTGCCTACCGGGCACTTCTACCCCCTTCCTGCCTACTTGGCACTTCTACCCCCTTCCTGCCTACAGGGCACTTCTACCCCCTTCCTGCCTACCGGGCACTTCTACCCCCTTCCTGCCTACCGGGCACTTCTACCCCCTTCCTGCCTACCGGGCACTTCTACCCCCTTCCTGCCTACCGGGCACTTCTACCCCCTTCCTGCCTACAGGGACACTTCTACCCCCTTCCTGCCCACCGGGCACTTCTACCCCCTTCCTGCCCACCGGGCACTTCTACCCCCTTCCTGTCCAGGCCAATTTCCAGCTTTCAGCGCTCACACTTTGAATGACAATTGCGCGGTCATGCAACACTGTACCCATATGAACTTTTTATCATTTATCATTTTTTTGTGACAGAGCTTTATTTTGGTGGTATTTAATCACCTTGGGGTTTTTTATTTTTTCTTAAACCAAAAACCACTGAAAAGTTTGAGGGAAAAAGTTTTTTTTCTTAGTTTTTGTTATAAAATTTTGTAAATAAGTGATTTTTCTCCTTCACTGATGTACGCTAATGAGGCTGCAGTGAAGGGCACTGATAGGCTACACTGATAGGTGGCATTGATGAGGCACTGGTAGGTGGCACTGATGGGCACTGACGGGCACTGAAAGGCAGCACTCATATATGGCACTGTTGGGCAGCACTGACTGGCATTGATAGGTGACAATGAAAGGCAGCTCAGATGGGCACTGATATGTGGCATTGATGTGGCACTGATAGCCACTGGCAGGTGGCATGGGTGAGCACTGACAGCTGGCACTGATGGACACTGAGACAGATCATCAGGGCACACTGATCATCAGTGCTCTGATGATCAGGGTAATGTCCCCTCCGAGGAATGACGATTACCCGGCTCACCTCTCCCCTCCTCTGTCAGTGTGACAGCTCAAGAGGAGAGAAATGCCAATGACCGGCATTTCCCTATTTACATGTGATCAGCTGTGATTGTACACCGTTGATCACATGACCGAACTGCCATCTTTGGCTCTTTCCGTTGATTGGTGATCCGCTGTGTCCGAGGGACACAGCGCACCGACGATCACCGCGCTGCGCGCTCCTGGAGCCTCGCATGCGCGGTTAGAATGGGAGGACATCATATGACGTCCTCCCAGAACGAGAGAACCACCTTGCGCCCGTTATTACACTGTATGACGGGCGGGAGGCAGTGTGACTGGCTGCCAAATCGCTGATGTTAACCACTTCAATACCGGGCACTTATACCCCCTCCCTGCCCAGGCCAAATTTCAGCTTTCAGGGCTGTCGCACTGTGAATGACAATTGCGCGGTCATGCAACACTGTTCCTATATAAAAAAAAAAATTAGAATTTCTTTCACACGAATAGAGCTTTCTTTTGGTGGTATTTAATCACCACTGAGTTTTTTTTTTTTTTTTTACTTTTTGCTAAATAAAACAAAATACCTGAAACGTTTGAAAATAAGCACTTTCTTCGTTTCTGTTATAAAATTTTGCAAATAAATAACATTTCTTCATAAATTTTAGGTCAAAATGTTTTCTTCTACATTTCTTTGGTAAAAATAATAATAATTGAATTTTATTTTTTATTTTTTTTCAAATGTTTCTATTTTTTTTTTTTTTTTTTTTTTTTTTTCCAACACACTGTGACCAAAGCAATACAGTGTACTCTGGGCGAGGGATCAGGATTTTTTTTTTTTTTTTCTTCATGTCATGATTGCTAATACCGATGTATTTCATTGATATTTGCAATCCTTGTTACTGAATGAAACGGATTCATTCAGTCTTTTGTTGTGATTAGCTGTGATTGGGCAAAGCTGATCACATGATACAGATGGGCTGTGATTAGTCAAGGCAGTCACATGATACAGACAGGGCCAGTCACAGCTCACATAATTGTATACAATGGATGGAATGCGGTTTGCATTGCCATGCATCTAATGGAGCCCAAAGAAGACATGCAGGGACTTTTAGACCAGGCATGTCTCAAAGAGAACCTGTCACCCAAAAAATCATCACATAGGGGACTTTATGTCCCCTATGTGATGAAAAAAAAAAAATTAAGTAAAAAAAAAATAATTTTTTTTTTTTTTAAGTTAGACCCAAGCACATCCCACCCCCACCTATACGCACGTACAAACATAAACGCACGTGTCGGGGCACCTACGCATGAAAATGTACACATGTTGCATATCGCCACACACACTGGAGTGAGAGCAATGGTATGTTGGGTGTCTATTTACTCGGCACAACCTCAGCTTTTATATTTTACCAAAAATGGGCTAATTTATTGTCTTTTGTTTGCTGTACAATTCAATTCAGTGTGGTTTTTTTTTTTACCGACATTTTGTGTTTTTTAGACCTCTGTGGTAATATCGTGTGAAATTAAAAAAAAAAAAATGGAACTACCGCTATTTTATTCTCTAGGGTCTCCTGCTTTCAGAAAATGTTTTGGGGGGTTTTGTGTAATATTCAGACCTAAAATGATTGTTTAACCACATCCCAACTGCCCTATAGCAGAAGTACTGCTACAGGGCGGCAGGGATGCGCAAAATCGTGTGTGTGTGTGTGTGCGTGCGTGCGTGCGTGCGTGCGTGCGCAGCTGTCAATCACCAGGTACCAGCCAGTGATTACTGAGCATCTCCGATGAGGAGGAGGACTGCCTCCCTGTTGGCTCGGGCATACTACTCTGGATGGCTGTGCACAGCCATCCTTGGTGTCATTGGAAGGAATTGCGCCCCGTTATTGGGAGGAATTGCGCCCCGTCGTTGGCGTCATTGGAAGGAATTGCGCCATGTCATTGGGAGGAATCGCGCCCCGTCGTTGGCGTCATTGGGAGGAATCGCGCCCCCGTCGTTGGCGTCATTGGGAGGAATCGCGCCCCGTCGTTGGCGTCATTGGGAGGAATCGCGCCCCGTCGTTGGGAGGAATTGCGCCCCGTCGTTGGGAGGAATGGCGCCCCGTCGTTGGCAGGAATGGCGCCCCGTCGTTGGCAGGAATGGCGCCCCGTCGTTGGGAGGAATGGCGCCCCGTCGTTGGGAGGAATGGCGCCCCGTCGTTGGGAGGAATGGCGCCCCGTCGTTGGGAGGAATGGCGCCCCGTCGTTGGTGTCATCACTGGGAGGAATGGCGCCCCGTCGTTGGTGTCATCACTGGGAGGAATGGCGCCCCGTCGTCGGTGTCATCACTGGGAGGAATGGCGCCCCAGTGTTGGTGTCATCACTGGGAGGAAATGGGGGCCCCAAGGGCCTGATAAAAGCAAGCAAAGGGCCACATCTGGCCCCCGGGCCGCAATTTGGAGCCCTCTGTTCTCAATTGTCATTTGTGAACCAACAATATGTGTGTTGAGAGCGGCCTCACCAGAACAATCACCTTATTCCGATCTGATCGAACTTCCGATCGTCCAAAATCCAGCATCTCATTCTTCCACACATCCGCCCTCTAATGCCTGGGCGGTCTAAAACCTGACCTTTTTGTTTAGGATTTGTGACGGTACATTGACTTCTGTCTGTCTTTTATCAGGTATGAAAGAAATAGAGATTCCACTTCACGTGGTTCCACAGGAAACCATCCGGAAAGTGTGTCTGGAGTCGGCTGTGGAACTTCCCAGAATCCTCTGCCAGGAAGAGCAAGATGCCTATCGTAGAATACACAGGTATGCGGAGAAAATCCCGGCTGAGCTCGTTACCCAAATACAAGAGCCGTGTGTATTCTTCATGGTTTGGATCAGTGCAGGAGCTTCCTGTAATACAGACCGCTCAGTGCTGCTCTCCCTCCTTGTGCGAGGTGACTGGTCTGGTCTCCGCCCCCTCCTCTAGTTTCCCGCAGGCAGCCAGTAGTGGGAGGACTTGCTGAGTCCCACTAACAGCATTCAGTTGGTAGTGATTGGATTTTGCTTCTCTTGAAGTTCATCTCTAACCACGTGGCCTCCTGAAGATTTACCCCCCCATGACCAGGCTATTTTTTGCTATACAGCTCTGCGCTAATTTAACTGGTAATTGTGCGTTCATGCAACCTATCTGCAATTTTTAGCTTTTTTTTCACAAATAGAGACTTTTTTTTTTTTGGTGGTATTTCATCACCACTGGGTTTTTTTGGGGGTTTTTTTGCGCTACAAATGGGGAAAATAAATTTAAACTTTTTTTTTTTTTTTTTTTTTTTTTTGCTGCAAAACATGCAGTAAAAACATTTCAATAAAATTTCTTCATAAAGTTTAGGCCAAAACGTATTTTGTGACATCTTTGGTGTAAAAAAAAAAAAAAAAAAGGATAAAAATTCCAGTGTATACAGTTGCAAGAAAAAAAGTATGTGAACCCCTTGGGATTACGTGGAGTTTTGCATGAATTGGGCATAAAATGTGCTCTGAACGTCATCTAAGTCACAACAATAGAAGAACACAGTCTGCTGAACATAATACTACACAAACATTAGATGTTGCCATGGTTTAATTGCACATAACATGTAAACATTCACAGTGCAGGGAGGAAAAAGTATGTGAACCTTTGGGCAGCAATAACCTCAACCAAACGTTTCCTGTAGTTGCAGATCAGACCTGCACAAGGATCTGGAGTCATTTTGGACCACTCCTCTTCACAAAACTGTTTCAGTGTAGCAATATTCTTGGGATGTCTGGTGTGAATCGCTTTCTTAAGGTCATGCCACAGCATTTCAATGGGGTTGAGGTCAGGACTCTGACTGGGCCACTCCAGAAGGCGTATTCTGTGCTGTTGCAGCCATTGTTTTGTTGAATGACTTGTATGCTTTGGGTCATTGTCCTGTTGCATCACCCATCCTCTGCGGAGCTTCAGTTGGAGGACAGATGGTCGTACGTTTTCCTGCAAAATGTCTTGATAAACTCTGGAATTCATTTTCCCATCAATGACATACTTTTTTCTTGCAACTGTATATTACCATTTGTAGATGCTAACATTTTCACACAAACCAATTAATACACACATTGGTTTATAAAAAAAAAAAAAAATCGTGTGTATTAATTGGTTTGTGTGAAAATGTTAGCATCTACAAATGGTAATATACAGTTGTGCTCAAAAGTTTGCACCCCCTGGCAGAAATTGTGAAATTTTGGCATTGATATTGAAAATATGACGGATCGTGCCAAAAAATGCTCTTTTATTGAAGGATGATGATCGTATGAAGCCATTTATTATCACATAGTTTGGCTCCTTTTTAAATCCTGATGATAACAGAAATCACCCAAATGGCCATGATCCAAAGTCTCCGCCCCTCAGATCAGAAGTCTCCACCCCCTGGAATGTTTGGCCTTGGTACAGACACACAAGGTGACACATACGGGTTAAAATGCCAATTAGAGGTTAATGTCCCACATCTGTGACTTTAAATTGCAATTAGTGTCAGTGTATAAATAGTCAATGAGTTTGTTAGCTCTTACGTGGAAGCACTGACTAGGCTAGATACTGAGCCATGGGGAACAGAAAAGAACTGTCAAAAGTCCTGCGTAACAAGGTAATGGAGCTTCATAAAGATGGAAAAAGGATATAAAAAGATGTCCAAAACCAAGCGGATCGCACGCCACAAAACTCACACAGGACACTTTTTCCAAAGCGCACTGCGGCTCAACTTTGAAGATGTGAACACTTCATTTCTACCATCCCCTGAATTCAGCCACTGCATCCCAAAACACAGCGGGGTTCAGCATTTGTGTGCATGGGCACGTAGGAGGGGAGGTTAGAGGCAGGAATAAAAACTGTGACACCCCTAGGAACAAGAATGCCCCGTGTGCATGAGGCCTTAAAACACCATAACATGAAGTGCATTACATGATTTATATATTGATTTTTATTCTTTTTTTTTTAGTCTGGGACATCTAGATTCTGTCACAAAGATTCACAACGGTTCTGGTAAGTTACTTCATGTAAAATGCAAAAATATTAACACACGCATTGGTCCATTTTAAGTGGAAGTGTAGCAAAAGCAAACCATTTCCTTAAGCCACAAATAAACCTTTATTATTACCATCTTAGAAGGTGTCAGGATCATGTCCTAGATCGGGGTCAGGATCATGTCCTAGATC